GTGTCGTGTGTGTCGTGTGTGTGTGTGTGTGTGTGTGTGTGTGTGTGTGTGTGTGTGTGTGTGTGTGTGTGTGTGTGTGTGTGTGTGTGTGTGTGTGTGTGTGTGGTGTAGTGTGTGTGTGTGTGTGTGTGTGTGTGTGTGTGTGTGTGTGTGTGTTTGTTAGGGTACTGCTCCCGCCCTAGAGGCGTGAGCTGAACGACACATCATCGTTAGTATTACATAAGAGAGGCATTACCGCGCAAAAAAAACACAGAGACGATGAGAGATGGAAGTAACCCGCGTAGACGACGCCTCCAATTAAGTCCGCGTGAGAAAAATTGTCTAACTAACGTTTATATACAATCTATGGAGAGCAAGAGCTCGCCTCGAAAATTCATCTAACGTCCGCGACTAAAGTCAGGCACTTTCACTCACTTCTTCTCATTCCATTTTCGTAAACTTTTAAGAATTGCGTTTTTTTGATTATAAAATCTTTATAATATTCGTATTATGAGAAACGTGATAAATCTTTCTTTGAAAGAACGTTGAGAATAATTCGTCAGATTGCATTCGCCGTTACCGTTATTGTCGTTGCTGCCAGCACGCTCCTGCTGTCGCCGTCACCGCTGCAGCTGCTCCCCATAGATGGCGCCACTCTACCCGAGGCTGTTATCGTCATCGTCGCCGTCGCTGCTTAGCTTGCCACCTTCTTCTTTGCCAGGTGGCCGCGAAACGATGACTGTATTTTCGTGGCTGCCTTCGCCACGTCCGGATCAGTCAAATCGATGTCTATCTCCTCTTCTCCATCCCGCGTCGTCGTCGCCATGGTAACCGTCTCCTTCTGTGCCTCGTCGGCGGCGGGAAGGTACCTGTTGGCGCGCTGTGGACTTATCAACGTGACGTCCTTCAGCGACTCCTGTATTTTTCCGATCGCCTTTACGGCCTCGGGATCCGATAGGACCTGATCCAAGCCGTCTGCCGTCGCCTGTGCGACCTTGGGCTGCTTCTTACTCTGAAAGTTACGATAGGACTTCTGGATCTTGTTTGCGGCTACGGCTACTTCGGGGTCATTGAGGTCAATGTCAATCTCTGCCTCAGCGCCATCCTCCGGCGTCCGGCCTGTCTCAACTTCCGGGGGTTTCAGCTCTGCCGGTTCTTTCAGCCCGTCCGGATTTGGTTCGTCTGGCTTTAGTTCTACTTTTGGCGTTTTTTTCTGATGCCGCCTAAATACGCCTTGTATTTTCGTGGCCGCCTGCGCAACCTCTGGATCGGTGAGATCAATGTCTATTTCCTCCTCCTCACCGCCAGCATTCTGCTGCTGCTGCGTCACGTCTGCAGTGGCTGCCTTTGCGTCACTGCCATCTGCAGCGGAATCACCTGCTTTTAGCGACGATTTTCTTAGCTTCTGCGTAGAAGCTCCTACATCCTCAGATGACTGTAGCTTCTTACTAGATGCTCTCACATCCTCAGATGACTGTAGCTTCTTACTAGATGCTCTCACATCCTCAGATGACTGTAGCTTCTTACTAGATGCTCTCACATCCTCAGATGACTGTAGCTTCTTACTAGATGCTCTCACATTCTCAGGTGATTGTAGTTTCTTACTAGATGCTCCAGCGTCTTCCATTGATGGCACCTTGTCCTGCTGGTCTATTGCGGGCGCAGCTGGTTTGGCAGCCTTAGGCTTCCTGCGTCTAAACACTCCCTGAATTGTAGATGCTGCCTTTCCTACTTCCGGGTCTTTAAGGTCAATGTCGATTTCTTCTTCTTCGGCTGATTTCTTAGCAGCTGGCATGTCGTCTTTTTCGGCTGCGTCTATTATTTGAGTCTCTGCCTCTTTGGGCTTTTCTGACTCGCCATCCTTCGCCTTCGTGTGACGCCTAAAGGCACCCTGTATCTTGGTAGCCGCCTGTTCGACCTCCGGATCGTTCAGATCAATGTCTATTTCCTCTTCCTCGTTAGACTTTGTTGTCTCTGCAGCGGGCGTCGTCTGCTGCTCCGCTGCTACCGGAGCTGGCTGTTTGTGGCGTCTGAACGCACCTTGTATTTTTGTAGCAGCCTTCTCAACCTCAGGATCATTTAAATCAATGTCTATCTCTTCTTCTTCCTCCTCTTTCCGAGCTTCAGCTTGCGGTGCTTCAGGCTGCACAGCCTTGGCAGCAGAATCCTCACCTTTGGCTTTCGTATGCCGCCGAAAGGCGCCCTGTATTTTCGTCGCCGCCTTCTCGACTTCCGGATCTGTTAGATCGATGTCCACCTCTTCCTGTTCCTCTCTCGTCGAGGCTGCTGGCATCGGAGATGGTGGCGCTGGCTCGTCGACAGTCGCCTTTGACTTCTGGTAGCGACGGAAAGCTCCTTGTATCTGCTGCGCCGCGGCCTCGACGTTCGGGTCATCGAGGTCAATGTCGACTTCCTCTTCGGCATCCGGTCGCGCTGCAGTGCTGCCTTCTGGCGCCGTCGGCTGGCTCTCGCGACCTTCTGCGATTTGATCGAGATCTCTGTCGGCGTCGTCGCTCACCTTCTTGCTCTCGACGCCGTTACTAGCCCGGATGTTGACGTCGTCGGGCGTCTTCGTGCGCGGGTTGACGGTGGCCGTCGGCGGCGAGCGGCCGGCGTTCGCCTGCTGGTCGTCGGCGTCGACGGAATGCGCCGACGCGGTGGCGACCGACTTAGCGCTTCCGTTCTCCACCACGGGAATGTTCCTGCTCGTGTTGCAACCCATGGCGACCCCGCAGCCTGGACGAAGCTGGCGCAAGAAGCACGCTGAATTGTTTGTACGTGCGTGCGTGCGTGCGTGCGTGCGTCCGGGGGACAGGTCGTGAATGTCCTGTCTGCACGCTAGGAGTTCAGCGATGAAGCCACGGGGGCGGGGAAGGATGGTCGGTGTCGCTTGCTGGCATGTCCCTTCACTCGCGGCTGGGTGCGGCGTCGGCGGATGACGACGCTGATGACGTGTCAGTGGTTAGCGGGTCGCTGTGGCGCGCGGCAGACATTGTTTGGTGACTGACACGCGCAGACGGGACGACAAACGGCAGACGAACCTGAAATAGCGAAGAGAACAGCGTTAATTTGCTGTGTTACAGGATGTGTGCGCGGGCAGAATGCACACAGGCGTATAAACTCAGTAAACGCAATAACACAAGCCGCTGCCATGGCGCAGACGCAGACGCAGACGCAGACGCAGCTTAGGACAAAGCGTTCCAAATCATTGTGAAGCGACGGCAGCGCCCCGTGCGACTGAATAAAGAAAGTATATAGCAGACGACAGGCAAATTCCCGCGCGTCGAAGGCAGATAATGTGGCGGCTGCTGCGGGAGGGGAGGGTGATAGAAGGAGAAGCAAGGGATGAGGGAGGAGGTAGGTAAGATAAGCGTCAAAGCGATAGGAGGGAAGGAGGCAGGGAAGAGGAGAGGAGAGATTGAGGGTGGAAGTTGGTGAGGCAGGAAAGAAAGGGGTGAGAGATAGTGAGGGCGGGAGTTAAGGAGTGATCAGGGTGGAAGTTGATGAGCGAGGGAGGAAAGAAGCGAGGGTGCGACACACGTACAGATACGCACGAACACAAAATATACGCACGTACGCACGCACATGTTTAATTCGCGCACACACGAACGCATGCACGCGCACACGAACGTACACACACACGCGTGCTTACACATGCACATCTGACATGGCTTCAATAAGGTGACGTCACCCGCAGGTACTCAGCTCCTCCCAGCCTGCCACCTGCGGTTATATTACGGGAAACAACGATGACTTTGCGCGTTCTAGTTTTTGCGCGTTTTATGAATGGTCCTCTGTGGCTCACACGCCACACCATTAATCTGTCACCGGCGGGCAGAGAGAAGGCGGGATAGAGAGAGAGAGAGAGAGAGAGAGAGAGAGAGAGAGAGAGAGAGAGAGTAGAGAGAGAGTGAGAGAGAGAGAGAGGAGAGAGAGAGAGAAGAGAGAGAGAGAGAGAGAGAGAGAGAGAGAGTAGAGAGAGAGAGAAGAGAGAGTAGTAGCCGAGAGATGAGGATATAAATACGAAAAGAGAAATAAGTCAGAGGCGCGGTGGAAGAACAAAAGGAGAAGACAGAGAGAGAGAGGAGAAGAGAGAGGGGGGGACGAGAGAGGAGGGAGGGAGAGAGGAGAGGAGGAGAATGAGAACGCTAAGGCCAGCGAAGTGAGAATGTCTGAGAGAGAAAGGAGTGGGGAGACGAGAAAGGCGCTGACTAACTACTGATGATCTTAAGATGCAGTACACAGGAGACCGTCAGGTGCGGCTCGAATAATCTATTACGCCCTTATAATGTCCTACACTACACGCTGTGTGTACGTAAACATTGCCACTGGTATACCACACATGATATAATTCGCTGCGCGCAATATTGTATACGATATTATATCGCGTGTGTGTATACGTTCGGCATTAGTGTATAGAACAAGCATTCCCTTTTTGCTCTCGCGCGCTCGCTCTTCTCTCTTCTCACACCTCCTCTCTCTGTCTGTCTGTCTGCTCCTCTCTTCTTCTCTCGTCTTCTCTCTCTCTCTCTCTCTCCCTCTCTCTCTCTCTCTCTCTCTCTCTTCCTCTCTCTCTCTCTCTTTCGCACCCTTCTGCTCTCTCGCACTTGCACTCGCTCTCTCTTTCTCGCTCTTACTCTCCCTCTCTCTCTCTCATTCTCTCTCTCTTTCTCTCTTACTCTCTCGCACTCGCTCTCGCACTCGCGCGTGCTCTCTCTCTCTCTCTCTCTCTTTACCTCCTTATCTCTACGAAACATTACACATGAAAGCTATGCAGCGTTCATAGTTACTTGCTGGCGAACACGCAATGGCTCGTTGAGCTAGCGGAATTCGCTCGGTAATACCTCGTGTGCCCAGCGCGTAGCGGCAGTCGTGACAACATGTAGGCTTCGAGTCTCGGCACGACACTGACGACACACGCCGTGTCGCATTCACGCGACAAACCTTCGATGTCGTGACACGAGTGAGGCAAACGCTTCCTCTGTATGGTGTTGCATGTACGGGGGTTTCACTGTGTGACGTCGCAAGTACGGGGGTTCCTTTGTGGTGTCACAGATACGACGTTTCTCTGTGTGGTGTCACAGCTTTACTATTCTTCTCTGTGCTTACACAAGTGTGGACTTCATATGCACTATATCACAGAGTTGCACTACTCCGTTATACTACTACACTGCAATAAACCTGTTCAGCGGGGCGTGATATGACTCCGTGGAACGTCAACGGAAAGCTCCTGCCGCTGTCCTATATCACATGCGTAATATTTCTCCTTGCGATTTCACACGGCCTGCGCTCGCTCTCTGCAAACCGTCGTCTGCGGCTGTCACCTGCCTTCACAGCATGGCGCTACTGCCAGGTGATGCAGTCGGCTGCATCTAGCAGCTTTGCTTCCGAAGCCTTCTTCTTACGGCTGATGCGTCTATTCAAGCTGACAGGTCGATCGTAGCAGCAGATATGCGCAACTTCCTTAATGGATTCCGCGTGAACAGTCCGGACGAAAGCAGAACCGGGTGTTAGTGACGGGATGGTTTCACTGACGCAGGACTTCACTGGCGGAGGGCTTCATTGGCGAGAAGATTCACCTGACGCAGATCCACTCTGACGTAAGCATTCACTGACGCAGTACCACACTGACGAAAGGATTTACTGACGCGGAACTGCACGGAAGCATGGCTTCAGTGAAGCAGAATTTCTCAGTCGCTGGCCTCTAGTGACGCAGCGTTTCGCTGACGCTGGTCTTTAATGACGCAGGGTTTTACTGACGCAGCGAGTTGCCGCAGGGTCTGCACAGCTGCGCGACCGCCTCACGTACTGGCAGACGCTTACTGCGTAGCTGGCAGCAAGTCCATCTCCCCGTATGTGTGCTGCTGCTCACGGGCTGTAATTAGTGTGCGCAGCTCCAGTAGCGCGCATGCTGCTGCTATTACTGCTAGTGATGCTGCTGCTGCTACTGCTACTGCTGCTGCTGCTAGTGATGCTGCTGCTACTGCTGCTGCTGCTGCCGCTAGCTGCTGCCGCTAGTGATGCTGCTGCTGCTACTGCTGCTGCTGCTGCTGCTGCTGCTGCTGCTGCTGCTAGCTGCTGCTGCTAGTGATGCTGCTGCTACTGCTGCTGCTACTGCTGCTGCTGCTAGTGATGCTGCTGCTGCTAGTGATGCTGTTGCTGCTGCTAGTGATGCTGTTGCTGCTATTACTGCTAGTGATGTTGCTACTGCTACTGCTGCTGCTACCGCTGCTGCTACTGCTACTGCTGCTGCTGCTAGTGATGCTACTGCTGTTTCAGCTGCTACTACTGCTGCTGCTGCTACTGCTGCTGCTGCTGCTACCGCTACTGCTGCTGCTGCTACTGCTGCTGCTGATGCTACCGCTGGTGCTGCTGCTACCGCTGGTACTGCTGCTGGTGGTGGTGCTGGTCGTGCTTCTGCTACTGCTGCTGCTACTGCTGCTGCTGCTGCTGCTGCTGCTGATGATGATGATGATGATGATGATGGTACTGCTGCCATGCACTGATGCTACTGCTGCTGCTGCTGCTGCTACTGCTGCTACTGCTGCTACTGTTGTTGTCGTTGTTGTTGTTGCTATTGCTGCTGTTGCTGTTGCTGCTGCTACTACTACTACTGTTGCTGCTGCTGTTGCTACTGCTGCTGCTGCTACTGCTGCTGCTGCTGCTGCTGCTACCACTCGTCTCCTATATGTACTACAGCCAAGTAATGAAACATTAATAATTGATTGAAAGCGGGCATAAACCCCCACCGGGAAGACCCGAACGTGCACGTGGTTCGCGTGTATACAGCGCCATATATTGTTTTTTATCGTTACACGTGTATAGGTGGTGGGCATGTGGTGTGATGTGGTGTTTTACTTATCTTACCATCTATTATACGAACATACACGTTATATAATATATATGTAAGTATATTATGTGTTACTATAATGTACGCACGCACTATAGGTAGTATCAGGAGTAAGATCATATAGATCTATATAACAATAGATTCTATATTATATTACTCCTGGTAGTATGTGTACGTCGGTCTACTATATATGTACCTGTATATACGTTGGTTATACTTATATCAGGAGTGTATCAAACGTACACAAAAATACACGTTTGATACACTCCTGCATGCTTATATGTAACAAAATGACGTGAGTTATATTTAGTTATCATCAGGCAAGAGCTAATAATACCAGGTATTATTAGCTCTTGTTATCATATATCTACGTCCGCGTGCGTATCTATTTATCTGTTAGCACGTCCGTTTTGCGTATCGGTAATATAATTATGTGGAAGTGCTATATGTGTACAAGTATACGTACGTACATTGAGCGTAATCCTGTCTGTACGTCCGTTAATTAATAATATATGCACGCCATGCAGTTATGCGGTTATCTGTGACGTGTGTGGACCTGCTATGCGCCCGTCGGTTATGTTAATCAAGAAACTATCAGCAGATTCTATACAATCTCGCCACCGCTCCGTGATTGATCGAGTCTATACTTATACATACAGCATTCTTGCTGGTGCGCATGAACAAGTGGTATTATATGGCTAGGGCCGGGGATGGACATAGATCGGAAGAGGAGAGAGAGGGAGGAGAGG